AAAGGTCAGATTTAAACACAAAGAAATGCCCACGCCTTTACCATTTATGGATATATTTTTATTTCTTTATCTATTTTTATTGTCATTACTTTTTTGGTTACTCTATAAAGATAACTCAACGATTTAGCCTTCCTAAATGTCTAGTTTTGTAAATAAACTTCCTTTGAGGTTGCAATGGTCAATGCGAAGTGCAAGATCAAGTGCACTCAACACATAAATAGTGAGGAATAAGAAAAGCATAAAAAAAATACAGTAACTTATTCTTCGTATTGTATCCTATCATAAAAACTATTACTATCAGAAGTTTATCGAGCTAGACTTTCATATTTCTTTCTCCTTTGTTACATCTGAGGCACATGCAGGCAACTGATATTCGTCTTTGATACACACACACACGCAGTCAACCGCAGTCAATAGCTTTGTGTGTTTGCCATCCATTCTACACTGGGATTGAGGTAGAAAGCGTGGTTGGATAGGAGGGAATGAGGGAATTATATATTTTTTTAATCTTCCTTTGGTGTGCATTCCAACTGGGAGAGTGAATGTCAATTTGAGACAAATAATTTTTGAAGCATTCATACTTTTTTCTTCTAAAACTGATGTAAAAACGTAAAAGAAAATCTGCACTGAAGTATTCAAGATATTTTTTTCTCTCCTAAAACTGATGTCAAAAAAAAACATAAAAGAAAATCTGCACTGAAGTATTCAAGATATTTTTTTTCTCTCTCTCTCTTCTAAAACTGATGTCAAGACGTAAAAGAAAAACTGCACTGAAGTATTCAAGATATTTCTTTTAATTCCACAATAACTCCAGCGAACTCACACCAACTTTCCGAAGGGAAACAAAAGACAACAAAACATGATTCAAGTCCGTTGTTTTCGAAGCTTCAGAACCTGTTGATCGCAGGGTCGGTGCCGGGTGACAGTCACGCATCGCGCTCAACCGGACGGCCGCTCAGTCAACGAACAGCCGTGGCCGATTAAGCTATCCAGGCCAACCTTAGGCTCGACTCACCGTGAGATTACGACAGGAAGGCGATTTAGACTCCATAATCAGCCGTAATGCGCCGGTTGAATTCACGGCCTAGTGGCTCGCCGGCAACGATTTTTTACCCTTCCACGCAGTCAGAGCCGCTGAAGACAAGTGAGACCGAATATGACAGATTGGTGGACACTAGAGAAAGAGAGGTTGGCAGACAGTTATGGATATCAATCAATCTATCTATCTTTTTATCTATCTATCTATCTATCTATCTATATATATATATATATATATATATGTTTATAAATAGTTTTATATATTCATATATAAATATTGTACATATATCCATATAATATATTTATATATATATATATATATATATATATATATATATATATATATATGTGTGTGTGTGTGTGTGTGTGTGTGTGTGTGTGTGTGTGTGTAGTGTGTGCGTGTGTGTGGTGTGTGTGTGTGTGTGTGTGTGTGTGTGTGTGTGTGTGTGTGTGCGTGTGCGTGCGTGTGCGTACGTGTGCGCGTGTGTGTGTGTGTGTGCGTGCGTAACATATATATTTACAGACACATACACAAACCAAATAAGATCAACGGTCGCAAAGGAACAAGACGCAGCACCGAAGAGGAGGAAATCCGGCCTGCAAACGAGGTTAACGGGACCTTCGTCGCTTTTCAAAATCGCTGCAGAGGTAATCGGATAAGTATGGTTAAAGGCTGGTTGAGCGGTCACTAAGTGCTAAATCGGAGAAAAGAGGAGGGAGAGAGAGAGAGAGAGAGAGAGAGAGAGAGAGAGAGAGAGAGAGAGAGAGAGAGAGAGAGAGAGAGAGAGAGAGAGAAGAGAGAGAGAGAGAGAGAGAGAGAGAGAGAAGAGAGAGAGAGAGAGGGGGGGAGGGACGAGGGAGAGAAAGATGAGAAAGACTGAGGGAAGGAGAGGGAGGTAGACACGACAGAGACAGACAGACAGACAGATAGAGACAGAGGGAGTATAAATAGAGAGAAACAGAGAAAAAAAAAGAAATCAATAAAACAGAAGTCAGAAATAACAGACGACACAGAACACAAGAACCCCAACTTTATAGTGTATACAGGAAGCCACTCAAGCCCTACGGAAAGCATATGCTCTCACAAGCCATAGCTCACCGCGCGATCTCTAGGCCTATGAACGAGTGTAGATATCATGTCCCGATGAAATACAAGTTATTGCGTGTCGTGCTATTTTGACACTAGAAAGAGGTTGTTGTTAATGACCTTCGATAAAAAATGAACAATTCGCCAGGTGGGATCACATAGGAATTATGAATGAGTGCAATTTACCGTACAAATTTATTCATTATCTATCGTATATCATCACGCTTTGTTTCTATTCCGACAAAACAAACACATGTATACATTAGTGCTTAATTAGCATATTGAGATTTTGTATGATCATTTTGGTTTGATTGTATGTTTATCGCATACGAAAAATTGGTTTGACTCATTAAGGCAATATTTCCATCCTCAGAAAGTAATTATTGGAGCTATAAATGACAAATAAATCAACGCACAATGCGTGAACTTAGCAGAATAATTTGATGAAAAAAAGAATATTGAAAAATTATCTCATTAACTGAAGCTGTATATCAGAATTTTGAGGACAGTTTTCGGCTGTCTAATACACGCGAAATGATAAGCTTTTTGACACGCTAACAACGATCATCATGGATATTATGATAATTTGCTACCTGGGGCGTCTTGTCAGCGTAGCACGATAATGGGAGACCGCCCGGTGGCAACAGTGTCAGTATTGCCATAATATGTCCTTTATTAATCATCATTACTACATCACAACACACAAATTGATTTACCCTTTTGTGTGGTATTTGAGTATTTATGTGGCCGAATACTGAAATACGAAAACAATTGACAATAAGAGAGTGTGAATCTACACAGAGGGTGAAGACACGCACGGTCTGGCAAAGAAGTTTTAATGATATTGCCATTTCCTTTCGTGACTGGCTGTGAGACCGGTGTGACGTCACTGAGATTCACGCATGATCAAGTCCACATCCTTAGCATGTTATCGCTGTCACTGTAAGGCATTCCGGTTTGGGGACAAATTGGCAGGGGCGATGGGGGCCTAAAACGGGACAGCGACATCGGATTTAGGGGGAAATATTGCATGGAAGGGGAATTTCGAGGAATGAAAATCACCATGAGGAGAAACAGACCTGTTAGATGTTCGCTTTAATTCTACTTTAAGTGACACGAAACGCCACTGGGATCCATCCGTCCACGTAGTGCTATAGTAGGTAATATATCATTACAAAGAACCTCACATTAACTCCCATTTCCCCCCAGATTATACGTTAGGCTTGGTTAAACTTTCCCCCACGTCGTCGATTATAGGGGAAACAATTTTCCTCGCTAGGGGAAAGGCAGGTTGTTTTACGATTGTCAGTGGCTTTATTCAGGAAGCAGGATTGTAAAGTATCTTTCATGGTTGGGGGAAAAACTGGGGGAGAATTTAGTGGAAAAGTGGGTAAGAAGAGATATGATCATGACGAAGGGGAAAAAAATGTCGGATGAATGTGAACCGGATGAAGAAAACTAAAGAAGGAAACGAACACATCTAAAAAGAAATGCGAACACCTGAGAAAGAGACAACAAAGCGAAGACGGAGCAAAAGAGAACATAATGACGCGTCGACATAATGAAAAGAGATCCGGAAGTATAATCACACGGCGAGGTTAATTATAAGTCTCTAATTACTTTCTTTTTTTAATAACAAGGACCAACAAAACATAAAAGCGTAACGGCCTTAACGAGTCACTCTCGGAGCAGCTGACTCACAGAACAATCATTTTTTTACGTATTAACAGACTGAGTCAAAATATTACTTTTTCGGCCAGCTCGAAATGAAGAACATAATTAGTTCTTGAAGTAAAACGAAGACCTTGGATACTTCTACATTGTTCTCAGGTATGTCTCTGTCTATTCTTTGATTTGGTAATGGGATTTATGAACTAATGGGAGTCAGTATTGTGTCATCCTTGACTTAGAAGTAGGAAACCATTTAGGAAGTCGTTCTTCTTTCGTAGAAACAATAGAACAGCTAAAAAGGAAAGTAAGTAGTTAAGCAAAGATAACCGATAGAAAAAAAGTCCATAATTTGTAACGGAAATGCGAAAGAGAGAGAAGAGAGAGTAAAAAAAAAAAAAAAAAAAATCATGACCTACTCTGACGTGGCTTCTGTTCAGAGTGCTGCGTTATCATGAAAAGATAAGTAATATCATCAATATGTTCTTTTTAATGTATTCTCTCGAAGCGTCACACACATGTTCTCTCCTTTTAAACTCTATGTTCTCTCTTATTCTCTCTGTTTTCTTTCCCGACTTGGTTTATCATCAGGTGAAACTAGCCACCTCTCTGAAGGCTATTTTAAAAAGTGCAGCGTCGGTGTTCTTACATATAACCCAGCACTGCATGTTACTGCCGCTGAAAATCGACTCTCCCGCACTGCAAGGGATGACATCAGCGACAGTCACCGTCACTCACAATGTCTGCCAGAACGGAAATACGAAAATTATACCCCCCCCCCACCCGAAATTACCTTCTCCTTCGTCACAGCAATGGCAGAACTCAGCTGTAGCGGTAGGCCTTCCTTAATGCTATGGAACAATTGTACGAGGCTCAAGCATGGACCGGTCTCCCTGTCCATTATTCATGCTCCACCATTTCTCTCTCCGTGGAAACCAAAAACCACAACCAAAGACACGAACCCGACCATTTCTCTCTCTTTCTTCTCTCTCTCTCTCTCTCTCTCTTCTCTCTCTCTCTCTCTCTCTTCCTCTCTCTCTCTCTCCCTCTCTCTCTCTCTCTCTCTCTCTCTCTCTCTCTCTCTCTCTCTTTCCTTTCTCTCTTTTATTCGCCCAAACCCGTCACCATGTTGTTTCTCTCCCTTCTCTCTTCTCTCTCTTTTTTCTCTCTTCTCTCCCTTCTTCGTTGGTCTATTTACAAATCTCACCCATTCCTGTCGATGACGCGTCTGTGTGGCGGCAGGTAGCCCGTCGTGGCCTCATAACCGGAGACATCTTCGCTCAGGTAAGCCAGTGAAGCCACGACGACGGTCAGGAGGAGAGCGAAGCCGATCTGCAATGGGAACGAAATTGGAACGGAGAATTCCCGACGGAGAATTCCCGACGGAGAATTTTCAACGGAGAATTCCGACGGAAATTTCAACGGAGAATTCCCGACGGAGAATTTTCAACGGAGAATTCCCGACGGAGAAATTTCAACGGAGAATTCCCGACGGAGAATTTTCAACGGAGAATTCCCGACGGAGAGATTTCAACGGAGAATTCCCGACGGAGAAATTTCACGGAGAATTCTTTTCAACGGAGTTTCCCGACGGAGAATTCCCAACGGAGAATTCCGACGGAGAATTTTCAACGGAGAAATTCCCGACGGAGAAATTTCAAGTTCCGACGGAGAATTCCTTTTGGTTGCACACTTGTTTCGTCTTTGTTGCATTCAAGTTCAATAATGTAGAGAAGGTATTCCTGCCATTTGTCCGTGAATAATCATTTCAAATCTAATTGCTATAAATCAACATATATTTAAGGAAGTTCTAACTGTATCTATATCAATCTGTCTGTCTATTTACTTGCCCGTCTATCTGTCTGTCGGGTTAGCTTCCTTTCCCTATTTCTCTGTCTCTTTCTATCAATTTGTATGCATGTATTCATGTAGTAACCATGGCAGACTAAATTTAATTAATTCCAGTTACTGTTTGTAGAGTATAGTGTGTGTAGTCGTGTAAGCAGTGCATGTGGGGATGAGGTGTGTGTTTGTTTGAGTGTGTGTGTGTTTGTGTGTTGTGTGTTGTGTGTGTGTGGTGTGTGTGTGTGTTTCAACGTTTGTCTGGCTGCATTTATGTGTATCCATACATCCACAATAAAATGTAGTCTGTATCATATACCTGGAATATCCACTAACATACACGTACCCCCCCTACCACACCACCACCACCCTCCTTAGCATACCATACAGAACCAACCTTCATTCCCTTTCAAAATAAAATCCACCCACCGTTACGATTTGGTTGTAGGTGAAAAAATCCGTTATAGGGATGTAGATCAGCCTCTTCTGTCTCGAGTTCCCTTCCTCTGACGTCACATCTGAGGACGCCGTTGCCATGACAACCTGGAGCGCGATCACCACAGCTGCGAGGAATAGTGTCTGTCGCCCGCCCATTGCGAT